CGATGTGTCATACACGATAATATGCTTATGTAGACAATTTTCATGTTTATAGTCAGGTAGTATTTGGAGTGATACTGATAAAATAAATAATAACTATAAAATAAATAATAACTAATTAAAACTAAAGCTGTTGCTTTTTACTCTGTTTTTTTTTGCCAATAGATATTACTTTTTTGTCATGTTAGCGCGGAAATCTCATTTTGCATGCTATGAAATAGGGAAGAAATGGCCTCTTTTCAGCCGTGTTTTAGTCGGGAGGAAATGAAATTAGTCTTTTGAGCGCATGCGCTGAAGTTTATGGGCATGCGCAGAAATCGGTTGTTCAATGACAATGTATTTCTAACCTCTAAATCATTTACTCCTATTTCGCCAACTATCAATTTAATGACGAGCTTTCCGCACAAACATGACAAAAAATAGTATACGTACCTCGGAAATAAACATACAGTCTGAAATAACCCTGTTTCTTCCCTCGATACATAATGTACTATAGCACTCGACTTAGTATTATGTAAATAGGTAGATTGGTTTTCAATCTATAATACCTTTGAATATTGTCTATTGGACATACGCACATTTTATAAGATTTGGTGGAAGAAATAGGCATCTTTAATGAGCGCAGGTTGATGCAACCCTGATGCCATATTTTATGCAAAAAATAATTACATATTGCGATAAAAAGTTATTTTACTGGCATGCGCATATTTTGGAACATCCGCACAGTGATAAACCTTTGCTAAACTTAGTCAATATACCATGTATGTTAGACTCATATACTGAATTCGCCTCTTAACTGAAATAAATACTCATTTTGCGGTATGATCAAACCGAAATGACTAATTGCCCAAAATATGGTCCATTTTGGAATCTGTTTAAGCTGATGTACACATTTCTCGAACTAAGAAATTCGGAGTTCAAATCTTAAATATTGGTATATACGAGGTCTATTCAAAAAGCATTGCAAATTTTGAATTTCTCCTGGCTACGTAATTTCGATTTTCAATTTTTTTTGGCGTTATGTTGGCTCGTCTTCAATTTTTGCCTATTACCAAAAATGCATCAAATAATCTGTATTAAATTTTATGTGAAAAACAAAATTAAGTGCGCAGCGGCATTCTGAATAATGACTGTGGCATATGGTGAGGCTACCTTGGATCGAAGCAACGTTTACCGTTTACAATTTTTAGAGGGGTGAGAAGATGTGAACGACGAAGAGCGTGCCGGACGCACGAGCTCGTCAACAAGAGACGAAAAATTGATGAAGTAAATAAAAAAGTATTGACCAATCGTCGAATTACCCTTGGAGAAGTTGCTGAGGACCTAAACATATCGATTGGCTCCTACCTTTTGATTATTACTAATGATTTGGGTATGAGACGAGTCGCCACGAAATTTCGACCAAAAAGAGCATCGAATTAACATTGCTAAGAAGCTGTTGCACTTTGCCTGCGACGACTCAAATTTGCTTCAAGGGTTGATAACCGGTGACGAATCATGGGTTTATGGTTATGACGTGGAAACCAAAGCTTAATCAAAAAAGTGCCCCAAGTTAGGTCAAATGTGAAGGTTTTGCTTACAGTCTTCTTCGATTGCAGGAGTGTGGTCCATGGGGTGTATTATGAGTGCTTACCATAGGGTAGAACGGTCAATAAGAAATATTACCTGCAAGTTATGCACAATTTGCGCGAAAAAATCCGCTAGAAACGCCCGGATTTGTGGAAGAACAAAAATTAGCTTTTGCACCGTGATAACGTCTCTGTTCACACATTGTTGCTTGTGCGCGAATTTTTGAACAAAAACAACACACTAATAATCTAATAATGCCGTAGCTGTCGTATTCCCCAGATCTAGCTCCCTGTGACTTTTCTTATTCCCAAAATTGAAGAGGCTCATGAAAGGACAACGCTACGTTACGATAGAGGAGATAATGACGGCATCGACGGAGGAGCTGAACAAGATCACAAAAAAGGTTTTTTTAAGTGCTTCGATGATTGGAGAAAACGTTGGCACAAGTGTATAATATCTGGTGAGGGTTACTTTGAAGGGGACAAAATAGATATTCATGAATAAATAAATAATTTTTGAAAAAACACAAAATTTAGGATACATTTTGAACAGACCTTATACAAGCATGAAACTGAAGGCTTTGTCTTGGATTATATCCGTATTTATCACCTTTTCGTTCTATTTGAACGCTTTAAAAAAGAGATGCCAAAAACGGGGCTTTTTGATTAACAGTTTTAAGAGAAAATATTCGTAGACTATTGGAGATAATCCAGAATCTCAGGGGCCATGACCTTTGTTTGCGCAGTGACAAAATTTGCATTTCTGCATTGATTTCTACATCTACCAGTTTAAATTGTTGGCGGCCTCTATTTACAGTTTATCTGGAGTTCTGCAGGCATATGGTCAACAGTCAAGTCAATGCTTGTGAAATGTATAATATAAATACTGTAAGATCCGCACCTCGTATATTTTGCGTCCCATTGTATTTTGAAATACCTCTATTTTACACTTACTCGTGTTTAAACTCCCATTACTCACACTGTATAATGAATATACACTTACGCACATGGACATATTTATGTATTATTCTTCGTTTGCATCAAATAATTTATAGGCGTCGACATGTAATAGGCTAACGTAGATACTGCGATATGTTGCTGGTTTCGTGGCCAACCGCAGATTGTTAACAAGATTAAAAGTACACATCGTTGACGAAGAAGTTAATCAGTTATTATCGTTCTAAGCCAATCTTCCACGTAATCTATTCCAAGTTTGCAGATTGGATAAGACGCGCGCCATAAATCCTAACTGATATTATAAATGCAAACGTGAGTTTGTTTGTTTAGTACGACTTAGCGCCTTAACTACTCAACTAATCATCATGAAGGTTTGTAGACATACTGTCAGGGGCACACGAAAAGGATATAAGGTACCTTTAATCCAGAAAAAAATACTGTTCCCGAGGAATAGCAAGAATTTATTTTCATCTCGGTAAAGGACAGTATTTACTGTCATTCTATGCAAAGTGTACATTTAACCTAAAAACTTTTATTTTTATTCCGATGATCGTGGTCAGAACATAAAGACAAATTTATCAAATTATTGTATTTTTGGTTAACTTTGACACGCACTTAGGGCATCAACACTAGCGAAGTCGCTGGTCAAAGCTAGTACCTAATAAAGGCGGCATATTTTTTCATATGAAATCACAAATAGATGGTAGAATGTGTAATACAGGGTTTGTCCGGAAAGTAATAGGACTGAATCGATTAAAAAAAAAATATTTCAAAATAGGCTCCTTCTGCGTCGATGCAGCGCTGCCACTTCTTGGCACACTTCCACTCACCGCAATTTCTGGTCGTCAGTGAACACTTTTGCGACCATCTTCGCGCACACCTTGCGCTTGTTCAAATGCTCCGTCACAATGTCATGAACCACAGTTTTTTTGTAAATTTAATATCTGGGCAATTAAACGAATACTTAGTCGACGGTCTGAGTTCAAAACTTCGCGCACACGAGTCACATTGTCGACGTTTGTCGAAGTCGAAGGTCTTCCAGTACGGTCTTCATCGACGACCTCTTGCCGGTCCTCTGAAAAGACCTGGTGCCACCGAAACACACCACTTCTTGCTAAAGCAACATCTGGGTAAGCTTGCTTGATCATATCAAACGTCTCTGTCGCAGATTTACCGAGTTTCACACAGAATTTAATCGCGTACCTCTGCTCTAACGAACGCTGCATTTTCGGCTTGCACCACTCACAGAAACACGTCGCACGGAAAAGCCTCTTCTGACTCTGTCGCGGCGGAAGGAAATCAGTCCTATTACTTTCCGGACAAACCCTATAAGTAAAGGAAAATAAAATAACGCACTAGCTTCGTAGCTTTATAGAGACAATAAGCAAACAGGCAGACGGAACAACATTTACATATACACTAAAAACGATGGTACATAAGGCGAGCAGAAAACTGATAATTAAATTTTTCCTTTTTTTAAGATTTAAGAGCAGTACTTGATCATTTGATCGAGTATATTATTTGTCATTAAATATGTATAAAGTAATATACTGTCAGTTACAACAACACTTATCCTTGACGTAAAAATTCAACAGAACCTTATTATAATTCTATACCTATTAAAATTAAACCAATCCAAAAACCTGGTATTTGGAAAGGATAGAAAAAGCTCCGGATTCGCCGCGTACCGGAAGGCGCCTTTAGTACCTATAGTGCTGAGTCGTGATTGATAGAGCTCCGCAAAACATCCCGGAAAACAGTATCGAATCCACAATACTCTGGATTATCCATTTCCATGAAATTCAGAAATTGTTTGGTCTCTCAAGTTAAAGTACTAAGAGGCATGTTCCTTTGCCTTATTGTAAGCTTATACTATCTTCAATTAATAGTGCCATTAACGCGAAAAAAGTACTTTGCATATTGCAAATAGAAAATACATCTGGAAAGAATAATAAATAAAAACCATATCCCAATGGTCTTCTGCCTATACTCAGTGTAAGATTAAAGTCAAAACGGTTGGTTTTTAAAAATAAATAAGTTTTAACCCCTTCGGTTTTAATTTCTCTCTGGAAGAGTATTTTAAATGAAATACAAAATGTTTTTTCACAAAAAAGTATTTAAGGGGAAAATAGAAACAAGTATTTCGTATTTTGTATTTACATTTTAAATGCAAAGATTTCAAATAAATCACATATCTACGATTAAATACACCACATTATGCCGTTTATTGCAACATTGTAATTCCCGTAATTATGTTTATAGAAGGATTAATATTAATTAGTAGCTAAAATACTGGCTCCATCAGTAAAGCTTTTTCAAACGAGTAAAACGTCTTTGTAATTGGACTTGTGTAGTTACATAGTTTTTGTGGAGATACAAAATATTATCTACAATATATTGTGCACTTGTTATGTCTCATGTTAATGGTGTACAGGAAATATACTTTAAAATTTAAAATATTTTTTCCTTTTATTGCAGCACTACTGGCAATAGTTGCTGCTGCCTTGTTCGCTTTACAAGTCGATAATTCCGAAAATAATGGATTTCAAGTTACAAGAGGTCCCGCGTTTTACATTCAGGTAAGAAATAATTAGATGGATAAAAATTGTAAGGGTTTTTTGTTAATTTAAGAGATTTATTTATTTTAAAATGAACAAACTCGATTTTTTGGCATCATTGTCATCATAATGGGCTTGTTATTCCTAAGTCTAATTGAACACGCAGCTTCACTCATTCCTATTTTGAGCTAATTTTCGCATTTCCCTAAAACTCGAATATCCCACATCCTTAACTATATGTTAAGCTGCATCTACTCCTTTTAACTTCTGACACGAAAAATCAAATCTTTACTCACGTTTAGTTCTACTTTATTTCTTAATAGCGTCTCGGTTTTATTTTATTTTGTGTATTTAATGAATGTTCATCTCAGGAAGCTAATGATATACTGAAACAGTTGTAACGATTGTAATCAATATATTTCTTGAAACTACAGTGTCTGTTTTTTATCAGTAAGCACATTTATATTATTAAAAAACTTTATTTTATGGACGGAATTACATTTAGCTATTCCAAAATTATGTTGTAAGAAATTTATATAAAAAAAAAAGAAAAATGGTTGCAATTATCACTTTTTGACAGTACTCTCCTACTAGTTTGTCGCTTTTCCGTCTAAAGCAATTCGTTCGTATTGACATATTCCGACAATGTAAATCGTAGATAAAGAAAAATGAGTAAAAATAAAACAACAGCGATTGAGGCTTTAATAAAATGAAGTTTTCACATTTCAAGTCAATCTCTACATTGGTTTCAACGGAAGCATATTCTACATGGATTGTTCAAAATGTTTATGCAGAATTTTATTTTGTTTATGGTATTGGGTACAGTAATGCTTGAATAATCCGAACAGAAATCTGCTAGACTTTGTGTGGATTATGGAAAATTTAATAATTATACCATAATTGGATTTTATAGATACCAGATGTACTAACAGCTTCCCCGTTGTGTTACTGTTAGAGTAAATTTTATATTCAATTTAGAACGGTTTATTTAAAAAACAAAAGTTGCATAGAATAAATAAAACCCGGGGTGTTTTCCAAATATATATTTAAGAAATTTCATTTAAAATAATTAAAAGACAACTGAATAATCATTTATATCAATATTCGCCCATTTGGGGTAGTAATAGAAATAGAACGACATTGTGAAGGTGCAATAAGGTGTTAGCGTACTAGTTTATCGCCGTGTATCATTCTTTTCACCACCCTGACTCACTTCTTTCTAATTGTTAACAACAACGTGAGGTTTTATAGTTTTATAACACATGCTCTCTTTAAAGTTAAATAATATAATTTACCCCTTCATCATCATCATTATAAGGTTGTCAGTCCTAAGATTGGTTGGACATGTACTTCCACTCTTTCCTATTATGAGCTAATCTTCGCATTTCCCTAAAAATTTAAAAATCCACATCCTTAATTATTTGCGAAAAGTAATCTAATCTAGGTCTATCTCTACCCCTCCTAACTCCCGTTTCTGGCTCTAGTATGTATGGGACTAGACTTTCATGCCTTTGAAGGTGTCCTACCAACCTATCTCGCTTATCTTTTATTCACTTAGAGATGGAGTCCTCTGTTCCCTTATTCTTTCTAATATCTTTTCATTTCTAATCCTTTCTAGGTCTAGTATCCTCATCATTCGCCTGTAACACCACATTTCGAACGCTTCGAACCTTTTCATTTTCGCTGCGTCCACAGTTTTGCACCCGTACAACACCTCGCTCCAGACATACACCTTTAACAATTTTATTTATTCATGAATATCTATTTTGTCTCCTTCAAAATAATCCTCACCAGATATTATACACTTGTGCCAACGTTTTTTCCGATCCTCGAAGCATTTCAAAAAATCATTTTTTGTGATCTTGTTCAGCTCCTCCTTCGATGCCGCGTTTATCTCGTCAATCGTAGCTTAGCGTCGTACTTTGATGGACCTCTTCAGTTTCGGGAACAACAAAAAGTCACAGGGAGCCAGATCTGGGAAATACGGTGGCTGCGGCATTATTAATGTGTTATAGTCGGCTAAAAATTCGCGCACAAGCAACAATGTGTGAGCAGGGACGTTATCATGGTGCAAAAGCCAAGTTTGTTCTTCCATAATTCCGGACGTTTCTGTCGAATTGCTTAGCGTAAATTGCGCATAACTTACAGGTAATATTCCTTATTGACCATTCTACCCTGTGGCAAGAACTCATGATGCACTATATGCACCACGCCCCTGCAAACGAAGAAATCTGTAAACAAAACATTAACATTCGACCTAAATTGCCTCGTTTTTTTTCGGTTTTGGCTCGTATTGCAGATTCTATTAGGATGATTGAGCTTTGGTTTCCACGACTTAACCATAAACCCGGTTATGACCCCCTGAAGCAAATTTGGGTTGTCGCGGACAGAGTCCAACAGCTCCTTAGTTATGTTCATGCGATTCGTTTTTGGTCGAAACTGAGCAATTTTGGTTCTCATCTTCTCGGCCCTCTGAGAACATTTCGTACCACCGATAAAGGTAGCTTCACCATATGGTACAGTCAACATTCCCTAATGCGTCCGCGCACTTAATTTTGTTTTTCACACAAAATTTGGTACAGATTCTTTGATCCATTTTTTGGGATAGGCAAAAATCGAAAACGAGTCGAAACACCTGCAAGCAAAGCAGCTGTCAAAAATTAACTGAACATTCAACATGGTCAAACTTGTATGGATAAGTGAGAGACATGAGTACCAACATAACGCTATAAAAAAATGGAAAATGTAATCAGCGGAAATTGAAAATTCACGATACTTTTTGGAGAGTCCTTGTATATAAATATTTGTAAAAGCTGCTTCTCGTTCTTTTTATATTATTCTCTCTTTCTCTACCCCTTCAACTATTTTTCAACAGACCCTTCTGTTTTACGGACTACAAAATCAGATTGCGACATGTAATTTAAATATGATGTGTTAGATATACATATATTGTATACGAGCTACATGTAGAAAGATT